GGTGGCTATCCCAAACAACAAATTTTCAATATAAGACAAAGCAGCCTTCTATTGGAAGAAGATGACATCTAGGACTTTCATAGCTAGAAAGAAGTAAATGCCTGGTTTCAGAGCTTCAAAAAACAGGCTGACTCTCTTGCTAGAGGCTAAAGCAGCTGGTGATTTTCAGTTGAAGCCAATGCTCACCTACGATTCTAAAAATCGTAGGTAGGCCATTAAGAATGGGGCCATTAAGAATTATGCTAAATATACTCTGCCATTTTAAAAACGGAACAACAAAACCTGGATGGCAGCACATCTGTTTACAGCATTATTTACTGAATATAGTAACCTCACTATTGAGATCTACTGTTCAGAAAAAGACTCTGTTCAAATTATTCCTGCTCACTGACAGTACACGTAGTCACCCAACAGCTTTCATGGACATGTACAAGAAGATGAATGTTGTTTTTATGATTGCTAAAAAAAACATCCATTCTGGAGCCCAAGGATCAAGGAGTCATTTTGACTTTCAACCCTTATTATTCAAGAAATACAATTCATAAGGCTATAAGTGGCCATAGACAGTGATTCCTCTGATGGATCTAGGCAAAGTAAAATGAAAATCTTCTGGAAAAGCATTCATCATTCTAGATGACACAGTAAGAACATTCATGATTCATGAGAGGAAATCAAAGTATCAATGTTAACAGAAGTTTGGAAGAAGTTTATTCCAAACCTCATGGATGACTTTGAGGGATTCAAGACTTTAGTGGAGGTAGTAACTGCAGGTGTGGTAAAAATAGCAAGTGAACTATAATGAGAACTGGAGCCTGAAGATGTAACTGAAATGTTGCAATCTCATGATAAAACTTTAAGGGAGAAGGAGTTGCTTCTTATGAATAAGAAAGTAGTTTGTTACAATGAAATTTACTCCTGGTAAAGGTGCTGTAAACACTGTTGAAATGATAAAAAAGATTTAGAATATATAAATTTATAATACATAAATTTAGTTGATAAACAGTAGCAGGGTTTGAGAAATTGACTCCAATTTTGAAAGAAGTTATACTGTGGGTGAAACACTATCAAAGAGTATTGCATGCTATAGAGAAATGGCTTTCATGAAAGAAAGAGTCAATCAATGAGACAAACTTGACTGTTCTTATTTTAAGAAATTGCCCACAACCACCCAACCTTCAGCAACCACCCTGATCAGGCAGCAGCCATCAATATCAAGGCAAGACCCTCCACCAGCAAAAAAGATGACAACTTGCTTAAGGCTCAGATGATCATTAGCATTTATTAGCAATAAAGTATTTTTAAACTAACATATGTACATTTTGTTAGACATAATGCTATTGCACGCTTAATATTTTACAATATAGTGTAAACATAACTATGCACTTGGAAACCAACATATTTGTGTGACTTTCTTTATTGCGATATTTGCTTTATTGCAGTGTTTAGAACCAAACCTGCAATATCTCTAAGGTATGCCCCTATATCTAAATACATAACAACGCTGAACACAGTGGATCACCCCTGTAATCCCAGCACTTTGGGGGGCCAAGGAGGGAGGATTACTTGAGTTCAGGAGTTCAAGAGCAGCCTGAGCAATATAGCTAGACCCTCTCTCTACAAAAAATTTAAAAATTAGCTGGGTGTGGTGGCAAGTGCCTATAATCCTAGCTACTTCAGAGGCTGAGCCAGGAGACTTACTTGAGCCCAAGAGTTTGAGGTTGTAGTGAGCTATGATGACACCACAACACTCTAGCCCAGGCAACAGAGATACCATCTAAATAAATAAATAAACAGCAACCTATTATTTGGTGCCTTTTAATATCAAACTTCAGACAGTGATTTCTTGTTATAGACATTATATTTAAAAATAAAGTGAGGGCCGGGCGCAGTGGCTCATGCCTGTAATCCTAGCACTCTGGGAGGCTGAGGCAGGTGGATCGCTCAAGGTCAGGAGTTTGAGACCAGCCTGAGCAAGAGCGAGACCCCGTCTCCACTAAAAAAATAGAAAGAAATGATCTGGACAACTAAAAATATATATATTAAAAAAAAAAAAGTAGCCGGGCATGTTGGCACATTCCTGTAGTCCCAGCTACTTGGGAGGCTGAGGCAGAAGGATTGCTTGAGCCCAGGCGTTTGAGGTTGCTGTGAGCTAGGCTGACGCCACGGCACTCTAGCCTGGGCAACAGAGCAAGACTCTGTCTCAAAAAAATAAATAAATAAATAAAGTGAGGCCAGGTATGGTGTAGTGTCTCATACAACACATGGCAACAGGCAAGACCCCATCTCCACAAAAAATTAAAAGAATTAGCCAAGCATAACGACACACACCTGTAGTCCTAGCTACTAAGGAGGCTGAGCCAGGAGGATCACTTGATCCCAGGAGTCTGAGGTTGCAGTGAGCTGTGACCATACCAGTGTACTCCACCCAGCCTGGGCAACAGACTGATACCTTGTCTCAAAAATAAATAAGGAAACTGAGAATAGTAAAATCTATGAGAACGGATTTATTTTTAAGAACCACTCTATGTATTCTTTCACAAACAACCAATGAATGAACATGGTCAGGAAAAAAAAAATATAAAGATATGTAGCATCAGAAAAATATTAAACTACAAAAGCAATTTTCTCCCTAGTTCTTTTTTATTTACTTTTTTTATTTATAGAGATAGGTCTTGCTCTTGCTCAGGCTGGTCTCAAACTCCTGAGCTCAAGTAATTCTCCAGCCTCGGTCCCCCAGAGTGCTAGGATTACCGGCATGAGCCACCACTATCTCCCTAGTTTTATGCAACCAAACAATGCCCAGATGCCAGAAATTCTATCTTAGTACTAAACTCTAGTTTTCATTTCTGGCTTATATTCAAAAGTTACAGAAATGGAGCCAATCAAAGAACAAGTATAGTTCCCACCACATATGCTTGTGAGCCGAACTGGGTTTTGTTTACTTACAACTCACGATTTCATTTAGAGTTCCTAGGTTTTACAAGTAAAACCAATAGTATATTGGACAGAAATGGCAACATTAGCAAATAAGTGTCCTTCAATTTTGACTGCATCATACTAGTTTGCATGGTACTGGAAATACTGTTTCAACTCTCAGTTTCATCTCCCTTATCTGAAAATGCAGGTAACACTTTACAAAGCTGTGACTGTTAAAGGAAAATGCATGTATACACACCAGCACAGTGCTTGTTACATGGTAAGTACTCGACAAACGACAAACGGCAGCTATTGTATCTGGCAACTGCAACCCTAAAATCTACTGTGACTTTCCAGTTAAAACCTCTTTTTACCTCAAAGAATTAGGTTAAATTCTCACTGTCGATTACTTTTGTACTTGAGTGGAAAACTGGTAACATAGAAATGCTATGTTTTCCACTTCTGTAGGAAATAAACAGTAACATCATTAAGTATATAAATGCAGTTTAGATTCTGTACCAAAATATGAAGATGGACAAGCTTTACTTTTGTTAATTATTAAATATTTTGCATCAGTAATAGTTTCAACTTCTATGGTAAAAAACTTAGGAAGCTATAAATACTGAGGTTTAGGGTAGTTTGGCAATATTATTTAACTCATATTTTATTTTCCAGACTATCAATTTATATATAGAAAAAAGGGACTATTATGTGGAGTTCTTGTGAACAGTAGTCAATTAAAGTGTCAACTCTGAAGCAGCATAACCATTTCAGAAATCTCTCTCCATTCTCACCAGCCTCAAGGAACCAATCTGAAAGACACACCAGGACTATCTTGAGGGTCTTGCTATTTTAAAAAATCATGAATTAAAGAGGAAACAGGAAGTCCTCCAACAAAGTAGAAAAAGAAGAATAGCACCTGACAACTGCAAGATGTTCATAATGCAGTTTCTAAGAAAACCAAAAGATCTTTGTCAAACTTGTCAAGGAATCCATTAATCTGCTCTTTGTCTTGGGCCCTAAAATCTATGTTTCAAGTAAAAATACACTTAGCACGTTATTGATGGAAATATCTGATGGGAATACAGGAGGAGCTGTTTTACTAAATATGCTAGCTGCACAGCCACTAATTCACATGCCACCAGAAACTTTATTTTTTTTTTTGAGACGGGGTATCACTCAATTGCCCAGGCTAGAGTACAGTGGCATCATCATAGCTTCATAGCTCACTGCAACCTCAAACTCCAGGGCTCAAAGCAATCATTCTGCCTCAGCCTCCTGAGTAGCTGGGACTACAGGCATACGCCACCACACCCAGGTAATTTTTCTATTTTTGTGGAGATGGGGGTCTTACTATGTTGCTCAGGCTGGTCTCAAACTCCTGGCCTCAAGTGATCCTCCCACCTCAGTCTCCCAAAGTGTCGGAATTACAGGCATAAGCCAGGAACTTCTTTTAATCTCAGCTTATGTTTATTTCCCTTTAACACACACTAGTAAATCATACATTCTAAGATATACTAGCACACATGTAATAAACTGGTTTTGTCAAAAGATATCTCTGTAAGTGTAGCCTACAGAAATGAAACAGGAATGGCAAAAGGATTTCAGCTTGTATTGGCTGTCTGGTACAGTACTAAGAAGGATTTGGAGTTGTATTTAAACTCCACCAGATGCTGCTAAAGACAATAAACTATGCCCGCCACTCATACTGGAAGGGGTGTGGCATCTACTATCTCATATTAACTGCCACTGTTGGCCAACAGGTTTATCGATTTATAAATTAATTCATTACTCACATGGCCAACTGTGAATTAAACTTCTACTTGGTTGGTTTTTATTTTTCCACTTACATCATTTGGCTAGCTTTTCAACTTACATAAATATGTTTAAGTGTTTTTTATTCATAGCAACAATGCACCAAAAAGAAAATGTTAAGAGTGATCAATGTCTGTTTTTTAAAAAGGAAATAAAATCATTTCTTTAATCTGAAATTATAATCGAAATAATTATATACAGCATACTACATACAGTAGCTATGTTATATAAGAGCAATCATTAAAAACTTTACAAAAGTGATCACTTACTTTCTGAACATGTAGTTTCACCATTAGTAACAATTTCAGACTCTAACTGCAGCCCATCAAGACAAATTGACAAGTCTCCTATTGTTTCTGTTGGCTCTTTGTCACCTGCAAGTTGCAAAGTCACAACTACTTCCTCAACTGGAAGAGAATAAAATTACAGGGGGAAAAATGGTCATCTTTTTTGCTTTAAGCCATCTTAGCTGTTAAAAATCTAATGTCAGAAAAAATGTAAATATATGTATATATAAATTGTTTTACTGTACTTCACCAAAGGTTTGAGGCTTTTCGACACCAAAAAAAACTTGGAGGGGATCTCTTATTATATGATATACATATATATTTACATGTTATATGTTAAATAT